GCAGAAGTAGATAGATCCATGATCACATTATGAGAATTAAATGTATTTGGCCATTTAAGTAATATTTTACTTTAAAGCATTTTCCCAATCTATTCTTTTTCTTTCATTCTATATACATATTACTTATATTCTGCCATCTCCCTTTTTTTTGGCTGTGCTGTGCTGCCTTTGAGATCTTAGTTTCCCAATCAGGGATCAAACCTGTATCCCTGCAGTGGAGGCACAGAGCCCTAACCATGGGGTCTCCAGAGATTTCCCTATTTTGACCTTTTCAAGAGCTGTATACCAAATGCTATGGTTTTAAACTGAAAAATTAAATAACAGAAATACATTTAACAGTATGATGATAAATACTAATAAGCATGATACAATCAACTCAAATCAAGTCGTAGAGTGAGGTGAGAAGGAAGCATACTAATTGTATCATTTCTCAAAGATTAATAGATAGTTTAATAGATTATTATTATCTATTACTGTTATTTATTATTCATACATAGTTTAAAAGATTAATAGATAGTTTCTAAAAAAAGAGAGGAGTAAAAGCATTAATGACATTATAAAGCTAGCCACCAGGGCTTCCCTGTTTGTCCAGTGGTAAAGAATCCATTTGCCAATGCAGGAGTTGGATCCTTGGTCTGGGAAGACCGCATCTTCCCTACTTGCTGCAGGGCAACTAAGCCACATGCCACAAGTACTGAGCCTGTGCTCTAGACCCTGGGAGTCACGACTACTGAGCCCTTGTCCTGCAACTATTGAAGTCCACATGCTCTAGAGCTCATGCTCCACAACGAAAGAAGCCACTGCAATGAGAAGCCTGTGCCCCATAACTAAGGAGTAGCTCCTGCGTGTGCAACTAGAGAAAGCCTGTGCAGAGCAACAAAGACCCAGCATAGCCAAAAATAAAGAAATGAATAATTTTTTTAAAAAAGCTAGCCACCGAAACAAATATATAAACATTTCATTTCTAATTATCAGAACAGTCACCAAAAAAAAAAACCAAGAAATAAAATTACCAAAAAGTAAAGGATTTTTAGCAGAAATAAAAATAAGCAAAAATAAAATGGATGGACTTCTGCTTCTGATAACAGATCAGGCAATCTGGATACACTCTCCCACTAAGAACCACTAGAAAAATATAACAAAACATTTTTTCAGTCTGCCCAAAGGCCTCATAATGTTAACAAAGTAGACCTGGACTGCATCCAGGGGAGAATGGATACCCTGAGAAATGAAACCTGTGGGTAGAGTCTCTATTCCTGGGAATGTTTGATGGTCCTGGAGGGGACAAGTGGGGGCTGAGAGCTAAGTAAGAATTCAGTCAACCTGGTGGAACCAAAGGAACAGATGCTGGTATTTGGGACCCACCAAGAAAGTCAGGGCAGGCAGGGGGGGCATTAGTCATTCTTCCTCACTTAGGGTTGGATCTTCAAAGGTCTGCACCCTAAAATTCATGTGATCTGAAAGTACATGGACTACATTGGGAACTGCAGGTCATCTTCTAATCCCCTCAAGCCCTGAAATTGGACGGAGGTGATCAAAACTGCTAGTGCCTCTGAGCATCTGGCAGAAACAAGTAGGAATCTTCTCTGGAGGAAAATAGCATCATCTTGGGCATCAAAGTATTTCCACAAACAATTTTTCAAATACAATGTTTAAAATGCAAACAAAAGTAGATAGGCCAGAGACAAGACAACATGAATTAAAAGCAGTGGGAAAAAATAAATAGAAAGAGAATAACAAGGGAGGATGTTAGAGTTCCCAGACAAACACTGTAAATAAATATGCTCAGAGAATTCAACGACATAAAAAGCAATTGCAGCAGAGAAAAAGAAACTATACAAAAGAACCAAGGTCCTTCTCCCAGCATGAAACATCTACATGTTAAGTCCAAAAACAAGTCAACATTCTTTGTAGCACTGGTATATAAAATTTTTGATTCACTTATTTAACAGGCATATACTGAGCCAGCTTTCTGTATAAGCTACCACTAGATGCTGAGGGAGATAGGAAGATAAAAAAAAAACAGTGGTACCCTGCTATCAAGGACTTAATAACTTATGGCTAGATTTAGTTATCACACATGTTATTCCATTCAAAACAGCACTGACTGGCAATGCCCTGAGGCTCTATTTTTTTTTCCTAAGATAAAGAAAAAGGAATATATCTTACTGTTTAAATGGTCTGATTCTAAATATATCCTGTGAGGAAGTTTCTAAAGATGGTTGGATGGGAGGCCATCATTATTGTGTTGTGTATGAGGGTTGATCACCTGAGTCTGGAATGGCAAGACATGTGCCACAATCATTCATACTCCACAGCACAATGGCTTCCGTCTAAGTATTATGATCACTCAGGGCTTTGGGTCAGCACCATCCTTCAGCCCTCCTAAGAAGCACAAGAAACTTGGTCCCATCTGTATTTGAAACTCTATTGATTTTGGGGTGGCTAAAAGCAATATATTTCTTTTCAATTTCTTTAAAACAGGAAACTGCCCAGGCCTCCTAGAGAAAATAACCTATTCTCAATGCCGAGAGGACACTTGAATTAAAGTGTAAGTTACTTAACTTCCATGATAAATATCCTCATAGTAAATATGGCCTTGAAAAGTTTCCATTTGGAGGCTGGGAGGGATCAAAGTCATTTCTTAAAAGTGTGAACTTCTCTAAGGCAGGTCATGAAAAAAAGGGGATGAAAGCCAGACTGTTGAAAGACAACACATCCTACAAATCCCCTTGAAAAAAGGACACAGGAATGTGGAATATCAGTGTCCTCCTCTACCACTCCCCTGGTCCATGTTCCTGAATAATCAGGTGTCCCAAGGGTATAACTCCAGGCACCACCTCTTAGGTAGCCAGGTAGTTTTTTGGTACGTTACTGTAGATGCATTCCACTTCTGGAGTCAATCCATAACTGTGACTCCTAAATGTTTGCAATTCTAATGGTCTTGCTGATTGCATGTGGTTCTAACAATACATGCAAAGCAAAGCCAAAATGTTATCCAAGATCAGAACAAAACAACATACTGTCCTAGAATAAAAGACATATGAGCAAAAAATTGGTGGCTTTATACTTAGATTACCCAGGTAATTTTCTTACAGCTTCTCTTCTGTTGATTAAAGAATCACAACCCTTGGTATGTCCACCATACTTAAACTGAAGGATATTTTGTTCTGGATGATTTCAATGGCTTAGAGTGCTGTTTCCCAGGCCTTTCCATTTTCATGTAGGGTGGTGACTAGAAACATGGGTGGGTCCTACCTAGTACACATTGTTCTTGTAACAGTATTAGGGAGGAGGTTTCAATTCAGGATTTGCTAAGATGTTAAAAATTAAGTATTAAACTCACAGTACAGGATAAACTTAGCTTTGTTAATAGTTAATCATATTATATAAATAAGCAACTATAACTATTGGATGTGAATAGTCACACAGAGGTTCAAAGGGATTCTGCTTTAACTGCCAATCCTTTCTCACTAGGAAATTGATGAAAACACTTCCCATTTGCTTCTGCAATACAGTCCTCTCTCATCATGTTACTGGAGCACCGTCCACAAATATATTTCTGTACTGCCCGATGCTGGTCCAAACTGGCCCATGCCGAACTGGCCCCGCCCTTATGTCAGAGGTGATATATTTGAAAAGTAGTCTCAGTTTCCAAATAGTAACTTGTCAAAGTTCAATATTGAAAGTTCACACCCTCCATCACATGCATTTCCAATGCCCCATTTCTATCACTATTTGCTAGTGCACAGATCTGTCCAAGTGAAAGTCATGAAGGTTATAACTATTCTGCAGTATAAATGAGTCCTATAATACCTTCTGCCAAGTCCCTGGAAGACAGAGCCGCCTACAATGTGTCTGCAGGGGTTCTGTGGACCCATCTATCTTCAGATGGGAAAAGAAAAAGACTTGGCAAATTTGAGCTAAAAGCAGGCTCTTGAGAAAAATGTTAAAAAGCATTTGTCTGCCCCTTCTTCAAAGATAGATTATTTTGTAACCCATTACTCTTTTTTTTAAAATATTTGACTCTGATTTCTTTTTTAACATATTGATATACTGATGTTCATAGATCACATGGTCTCTAGTTGCCATCTGGGGCATGTTTTTCTAGTTAATCTTGAGTGAAGTTCATATTTTACAACTATAAATAGTGGTGGGGAGGGGGTTCTCGTCATAAAATGTTCTAAACATCACAGAATGTTCAAAACCACTTTCTTTACAAGAAATGCCAGTAAAAAAAAGGACATCCTAGATTTCTCCAAAGAGCCCACATTAAGGTAGAAGGCAATATTGATTTTACTTAAATCTCGAAAAGTCAAGCACAAATATCACAGTAGGCAGAATAATGCCTCTGCCCCCAAAATGTCCATTTCCTGACCCCTAGAATCTCTGAACATGTTATGTTACATAGCAAGATGGAATTAAGGTTGCTAATCAGCTGACCCGAAAACAAGGAGATCAGCTTGAATTATGCAGCTGAGCCCAACATAATCACACAGGTCCTTAAATAGAAAAGTGGAGACTTCTGGGTCTTGTCTGACATGGTGGACTGGCTGTAGTTATGCACTCCCCGTTACTTTGGAATGTTTTTCGGGGCTTTTGGGCCCGCTGGGATGTTGTCCCGGGCCGCCGACACCTAAGCTGCAGTAACCTGCCCCTGGAGGAGCTGTTTGCCCACGGTGGACCTCTGCGGACCTTCCTCAAGCGCCAGGCTGCATGTTGTCCATCAGATAGAGGAAAGAGGAGGTATATTTTGTAAGATGAAAATGAGGACTTAAGGAACCTCAGAGATATTTGATATGTATTAGCAGTATGCTGCATTTAAAAGATGGCATTTTGAAACCCTGGAATATTTTCCAAGTGAAATAGGTGGCCTTAGACATGCAACCGCCAGCATTGAGGGTTCAGAAGCCTATAAGCACGTGAAGTTTGAAGGAGGTGTGCACAGAGTCCAGAGAGTGCCCAGGACAGAGAAGCAAGACTGCATCCACACCAGCACCATGACTGTAGCCATCTTACCCCAACCCACTGAGATTAACCTGGTGATTAATCCTAAGGATTTGAGGATTGATACTAAGCGAGCCAGTGGAGCCGGGGGACAGCACGTGAACACCATGGACAGTGCTGTCCAGATCGTTCATTTCCCAACGGGTATTGTTTCCGAATGCCAACAAGAAAGATCTCAACTGAAAAATAAAGAGATCGCTATGAGCAAGTTACGTGCAAAACTGTACAGCCTACAGCTAGAAGAAGAAACAGGTAAACCATACAATGCTAGGAAGATTCAGATTGACACAAAAGGAAGGTCAGAGAAAATAAGAACATATAATTTTCCACAGAACCGGGTCACATATCACAGAATAAACAAGTCACTTCATGATCTTGACACTTTTATGCAAGGAGAGTACCTACTGGATGAACTTGTACAGTCATTGAAGGATTATGCTAATTATGAATCTTTAGTAGAAATTATTTCCAAAAAAGTTTAAGTTGATTTGTTACTAAAGATTTGGATAGCTTCTGAAAATTCTGTTATAGCAAATCAGGTTGTGTATATACAGTATTCTCTTGAAACACTTGAGTTAACACAGTTGAGAGTAACATTTTTAATAAATAGCTAATTTATATAAGTCTCTGAATGTATTAAGTAAAAAAAATACAATATTAAAAAAAAAGAAAAGTGGAAGGCAGAATATTAGAAGCAGAGAGAGAGCATCATCAAGAAGATTTAGTCAGCCATTTCTAGCTTTGAAGATGGAGGAAGAGGTTACAAGCCAAGGAATGCATGTAGCTTTGAAATCTAGAAAAACTGAGGAAATGGATTCTCCTCTGGTGCCTCCAGCAGGAATTCAGACTTTGTTGTTTAAAGCCAGAAAATTTGTGGTAGTTTTTTATAGCTGCAAATTAAAACAAGTGTTGAGATGCTTTGTGGCACTCTGGACTTCCTTGAGGTTGCCAGTCACTTTAAGAAAAGTTGGCATGGAAGACAGTATTTGTCAGTAGTCATGCATCTTCTAAATAATTTCCATGTTTCTCAGCTACTATGGCTAGCCAGTCTTCCCCTATCATAAGATATTAAATTATTTTCCCCCAACACAGATTGCTGGGCTCACCCATGGAGTTTCTGATCTGGGGTGATGACTGAAAATTTGCATTTCTAACAAACTCCAAAGCAAAGCTGATGTTACTGGTCAGAGGATCACACTTTGAGACCCACTAGTCTAGTGGACTGGAAATGCATGTAAACAAACAATTAAAATACAGTGTGATAAGATGATGTAACCATACAAAAGGTATAGTAATTACAGTGTAGAAACATCAAAATCATGCACTTGGTTGGAGAAAGGTTTTAGAAAGAAGCAATGTTTATGTTGAAGCTTGAAGAATGTAATTTAAAACAGAAAAGACAAGGAAAAGTGGATGGGGAGAAAACAAGTAAAGAAATATCTGGCAGAGAGAAATGTGTATAAGAAGACATGGAGGAGGGAACTTTTTTTTTTACAACTGGAGAAAGGGATAACCATGGGTAAGTGGTGGGAAATGAGGTCAGAAAAGGAGACAAGTCAGATACAAAGGCCTTTCTGCGCTAAGCAAAGGAATTTGACTTTATCCCAAATTCCAGAGCTGTATGTTAGTGTCCATAAACAGACTTACATGTTAGAGGGCTTCCTTGGCAGCTGTTCTGGATGAGCGAGGCATGGTGAGATCAGAAACAGGAAGCATTAAGAAGGCACTTCCGGCAGTCCTCAGAGAAGCAACGAATGCATGCACTATGGTACAGACGATGGATCTGATGGCATAGCTGCAAGAGAAGCATAAAAGTAGCATCTACAGACCATGGTTACCAATGGAATACGAGCAAGTGAGAGAGGAGCCGTGGAGGACTAGAGGATGATTATTAGCGTTCCAGGCTATATGCTGAGTTGGCTAAGGGAATGATTCATCAAGAGAGGAAACACTTCACAAGGAGTCTGCTGAGTGGAGGTGACCATGCAGGGATGGATGCCTGGGGGGCTGAGGTCCCTGGATTATACCCAAGGGAAGTAAGCCAGATAACAGTTGTGAACAGCTATGAGTTGCTAATATTTCAAAGCACAAAGTGAAACTTAGTGGGCAAAGTAAATAAAAATGCTTACTTATATGAAATTATAGACTTACAGACTTTTTAAAAGTAGCAAATATAGCTTTATTTTCATCAGCTACTTTTCATAGAACAGTATGTGGCACCCTCTCACTCCTCCTTGGCCTAGTGCATGGTCAGCCCCTCTCAGAGTCAACAGCGCTGGGAAAGAAAAAGAGAATAGGAATGGACACCAAGTTAAAGTCATTTACTTGTGATAAAATACACCTAATGATGATTATATTGACTGAAGTAGGTGCTCTTTCTCAAAGCACCTGTTCTGGAGTAGACTGCTACTCTGCTCCTTTCTCCTCTACAAATACATATGGACTGGTGTATACATTCTGTCTCTACCCTCAAGAGAGAACCAGATTTGGTGACGTCAATAAAACATAGGCAAAGTGTGGAGTAAATGAGAGTCAATGTTTTCAGTTTTAAGCAACCATACATATATATTACATTAAGAACCTAAGTAATGTATGTATATTAAGCACTAACTAAAACATATCAAATTATGATATGTTAAAATGCAAATAACTCATGTGGTTTTAAAAGATAAAACAAAGTTGATGCTAACAAATTTAATGTGAATCATTAATAGAAGAGAGAAAAAGTGGAAACTTAAAACTTTTTAAACAAAATACCATATAAATACATATGGAATACATACAAAAAAATTACTTATAGAACTACAGATAATTCTTATTTTTATTTATCCTTTCCTATATTGTATAACTATTAAACAATGAGCATGTGTCACTTTTTAAATTAAAACATTAAAAAAAATAAGGCTAGTTTCCCTAATAAACTATCCTTCCCTCATGGCTCAGATGGTAAAGAATCTGCCTGCAATGTGGGAGACTGGGTTCAATCCCTGGGTTGGGAAGATCCCCTGGAGAAGGAAATGGCAACCCACTCCAGTACTCTTGCCTGGAGAATCCCATGGACAGAGGAGCCTGGTGGGCTACAGTCCATAGGGTTGCAAAGAGGCAGACACAACTGAGTGACTAATGCTTTCTTTCTCCCTAATAAAAAAAATTAAATGTATTTAAAAAATACTTTTTTAAGTATATTCGAAACTGAAAACCCAAGATTATGCAGACATCTGTCCCTAAAACAGATGTTTGTTCAAGTGCCTCTCGCTGTCTAAAATGCAGCCAAGTGGTATCCAAAGTGCTGTCAATCTTGGTGAAAGACATCGGGGCTTATGCAGAGCTGAGGGCTAATATCTTGCTCTCATGTGACTGCAACTTACGGCAGTAGGGGGGCCAGGTAATCTGGACTAAACAGGGAAAAGGAAGTTTTAGGACATCAATTTTAAAAGCCACTTCAGAGACTTCCCTGGAGGTTCAGTAGTAAAGACTTCACCTTCCAGTACAGGAGTTATGGGTTTGATCCCTGATCAGGGAACTAAGATTCCACATGCCTCATGGCCAAAACACCAAAACATAAAACAGTAGCAATATTGTAATAAATTCAATAAAGACTAAAAAAATGGTCCACATGAAAATAAAAGTCTAAAAACATAATATAGGAAAATTTAAACATAGAAATAAAAAGCCAGGCTTCCCTGGTGACTCTGTGGTAAAGAATCCGTCTGTCAATGCAGGAGACACGAGTTTGATCCCTGATCTGAAAGGATCCCACATGCTGCAGAGTAACTAACCCTGGGAGCCACAAATATTAAGCTCACGCTCTAGAGCCCATGCTCTGTAACAAGAGAAGCCACCACAATGAGAAGTCTGAGCACCGCAACTGGAGAGCAGCCCCCACTTGTCACAACTAAAGAAAAGCCCTAACGTACCGACAAAGACCCAGAACAGCCAAAAAAACTTTTTTTAAACAGTAAAATTATAGAAATAAATAAAAAACCACTTCAGATTGTTGGGAACCATGAAAGGATGGGGTTAAAAGGAGTTCTCTCCGAGGAAGCCCATGCTAACTTGAGCCTCCTGAGATGCACAGATAAAGGATATGCACCCTGGTGACTAGGACGCTCTATATTCCCTGAAAACAGAGCTGTTGGCCATAAAGCAGAGCAAAATCATTACAGTAAGAGCAGCCACCATGGCTCAGCTGTTGCACACACGGTCCCATGACAGAAGATCCCAAGGCACCAATTCAGGAGAGAAAATCTGGAATCAAGATTCATGCTGATAAGCACAAGACTTGGCATACAGTCTTTAGTCACACCAGCAGTATACGTAATATCTGCTTTAGCTAAATCCTCTACAATTTGTTCAATGTTACCGCACAGCTTATTGAAGGTTAATCATCCTTATAACTTGGATATTAATGAGAAAACTAGGAAATGAATTGTGAAGATGACAAAACCTGAAGAAAGAATTTAGCATATTAAACCCTTCCAAAAGTGAACTCTCTCTTAACATCAGATATTTGTAATTCGTGTTTTTAAAAATACCTCTACTGTTGTTTAGTCACTAAGTCATGTCTGACTCTTTGGTGACTCCATGGAATGTAGCCGCCAGGCTCCTCTGTCCATGGGATTTCCCAGGCAAGAATACTGGAGTGGGTTGCCATTTCCTCCTCCAGGGGATCTTCCTGACCCAGGGATCGAACCCACATCTCCTGTGTCTCCTGCATTGGCAGGCAGACTCTACCACTGAGACACCAGGGAAGCAAAAATACCTTACATGAGAGCAAATTTTACTTGTAAAACTGGACAGTAATTCTCTGACCACAGTGGGAAAGTGAGGGCAAAAATGGCCATTTAGCTATCACTGTGCAACAAAGCATCCCAAAACTCTGAGACTTAAACCAATAGCCACTTATATTATTGCTTGCAAAACTGCAGGGAATCTGGGTGGTTCCTCTGCTCTTAGATGAGCTCCTAAGTGGGTCTGCAGTCAAGTGTGGGCTGGGTTGGTAGCTCTGCTAATCTGGGTGACACACTCACATGTTTTGAGTCTGGCTGCCTTTAGGATGGTCTACCATGACTTTGAATGGGAAAAGTCAGTTCTCCTTAACGTGTTCTCTCCTCTTCCAGCAAGGTAAGCCAAGTTTGTTCTCATGGTGACAGAGATCTCGGAGACAGTAGAAGGACACAAGGTCTCTAGGATCAGAACTGCCACTTCTACCATATTCTGCTGGCCAGAGTAAACACAAGGCCATCCCATAATCAAGGAGACGAGAAAATTAACTCAATCTCTTGATGAGATGAACTG